GCACGCATGCATGCACGCAGGTGTACGCACGCACGCACGTATACGTGCACACGCACACACGCACACACGCACGCATGCACGCACGTTTACGTACACACGCACGCACGCATGCATGCACGCAGGTGTACGTGCACACGCCCGCACGCACGTCTACGTGCACATGCATGCATGCACGCACGTATACCTGTACACACACGCACGTACGCACCAACGCACTAATGCACACACGTGTACCTGCACACGCATGCACGCATGCCCGCACGTGTACGCGTGCACACGCATTAAATTTGACATGTAAATTGTCAGATGCCGAAATAATTAGGCCTATATTGAAGTATAAATATATATTTGTTAGAGTTTAGAAAAGTATTTTTAAGCTCTAAAAACGCATCTTGGTGTCTTACATTTTTAAAATTTCTTAGGGGAGGACCCCCAAACCCCCCTTTGACGAGGGGGAAACTCCCCCTAGAGCTCCCCCGCCACGGCTGCGTCGTGGGCACTTGGCCTTCGGCGAGCTGTTCGTCGACATCTGTTATTGATGCTAAATGGCCTGACCAATGTTTATTTGCTTCCACCGGCCCTGCTGTAGTGAAGCGGAACCGGAACCGCCTGTATCATACAGGTTAGGAAGGAGGAGGATAGGGAGGAGAAGGGACGAAGCACAGGCATTTGAAGCGTTTCAATAAAATATAATGCTAAATAAATGCGAAATCTATTTACTATAGTACCAAATTCTTAATGTTTCTATACTCTCTTTCCCCTATTATTGCCGACAGTTTCCTGTAAATTCCGTCCAAATCCTCTATATGCAACGGCTGGCGGCGGCCATTGCTCACGCGGCTGCACTGTGCACACCATAGAAATAGTATAGATAACGTATAGATAGTATAGATTATATAGATATATAGATAGTATATATGGATTCTAACGTATAGATAGTATAGAAATAGTATAGATAGGTTATCTATATTATTTCTATAGTGCACACTGACATATATATATAGTGTCTATAGGAGTGTTTCATGTTGATAAACATTGACGTCATATGCGCAGTTTAACGGTTGGCAGCAAGCAGATGCGGGATATTGTTGCGATACAAGCACTACGCAACGCACGTGGTAGCGTAGCACACGCACGCAGCGCAAAGCACAGAGCGCACAGCAAATCGTCTACGTGTAAGCATGGCATGCACGACAGCACAGTCACGTGTACCTGCACACACAGCCGCCCCCCGGGACGCAGCGCAAGCGCAACCATGCACACACGTGTAGCCTGCTACACGCACACACGCACGCACGCACGGCACGCACGAACGCGTACGGTGGCTGGCCACACGCGCGCAGGCACACGCACGCAGCGCACGCACCCCGGACGTGGCATCACGGCTACGTGTACGTAGCAGCACACACAGGACGCACGCACGCATGCCACGCACGTGTAAGTCACCACGCAGCACGCAACGCATCGTGTACGTACACACTGCACGCACCACGTGTACGTGCATACCGCACGCACAACACTGCCATCGCGCGCACGTGTAGCGTGCACCACGCACGTAACGCACGCACGCACGTAGTACGTGCAACATGCACAACGCGCGCCCACACGCACGGCAGCGGCACGTGGGTCACGTCAACACACAAGGACGCACGCCACCGCAGTAACGTGTAGCGTGCACACGCACGCAGCACACTCATGCACGCACATGTGTAACGTGCACAACGCACAACGCACGATGCGACGCACGTGTACGTGGCACACGCACGCACGCACGCAGACACGAACGTGTAGTCCTGCACACGCGCGCACGCACGCACGCACGTGTACGTGCACACGCACGCAGGCACGGCACGTGTTTAACGTGCAGCACGGCACGCAGGCACGCACGTGTACGTGGCAGCACGCACGCAATGCACGGCACGTTGTAGGAGCACATGCCACTGCACGCAGCGCAGCGCACGCATGCCGGCACGTGTAGCGTGCACACGCACGCATGCGCGCACGGGTCGACAGGAGAGGTTTCACGCATGCACGCAGCGTGTACGTGCACACGGCAGCCGCACGCACGCAGGCGCACGTCTAGCTTGCACACGCACATATCGAACGGCGCGCCCTTCGGCATCCGACTGAGACATGGCACCCATGTGTACGTGCATATGCAGGTACGCTCACGCGCGCGACGCAGCGCACAGCGGCGCATGCACACACGTAGTAGCTGCACAAAAACGCCAAAAGCGCACGCACGCACGCATGCACGCAGTGTAGCGTGCAGCACGCACCAGCAGGCCGTAATTATGTGCATACGCACGCTCGCAGCGGCACGTTTGTTAGCGCACACACACCGCATGCAGAGCGCACGTGTAGGTACACATGCACGGCACGCACGTGTAGCAGTGCACTTCACGCACGGCATTGTACGCACGTGTACGTGCACAGCGCTAACGCAGCGGGCGACGCACGCACCACGCATGCTACGCATGTGTAGCGTGCATATGGCAGGTACGCACGCGCGCACGTGTACATGCTTACAACGGCAGCGCACGTACGCACGCTCACGTGTACTGCACACGTCACGCAGCAGGTTACAGCGTGCACACCGGCAACGCACGGGCACGTATATGTGCATACGGCAGGCGCTGCGCACGCACGTGTACGCGCGACGACAGCACACACCACGCATGCAGACGCACGCTCGCACGTGTACGTGCGACGCACGCACGCACGCGTGTACGTGCACACCGCACTCACTCAATGCAGTCGGCAGCGTGTACGTGCACCCCCCCCGCCACGCAGCGGCACGCGCGCATAGGCACGGCATGTGTACGTGGCATATGCAGGTAGCGCACGGCGCACGGACATCCCATATGTACGCACGCACGCACGCGCGCATGCACACAGGCGTGTAGGCGCTGTACACGGCAGGTAGGCCAGCGCACGCACGCTAGCACGCATGCACGCAAGGTGTATGTGCACAGCGCAACGCACGCAGCGTATATGCGCTCGACAGCGTACAGCGTACGTGGGGCAGCAGGCAGGCACTCACGTGTACGCTGCACACAGCACGCTACGGCACACACACGCACCGCAGGGCACGCACCGGGTAACGATTCACACGCAACGGCACGCAGCGGCACGCACGCCACGCGCGCACGGTGGGTACGTGCACACGCAGCGCATGTACGCACGTGTAAAGTGCACACGCACGCACGCCCGAACGCACGCTAGTACGTACACACGCACGACGCACGTGTACTTGCAGCAGCCGCGTGGCACGCGTGCACACGGCACACATTCAAGCGGCACGGTGTACGCAGCGTACGCACGTAATACGTGCACAACGTCACACGCACACAACGGTATACGTGGCACACGCACACACACACGCACGCACGCATGCAGCGCACGTTTAGCGTACACACGGCACGGCACGCACGGCACGCACGCACGCAGCGCGACAGGCACGTCTACGTGCACATGCATGCACGCCACAATGCACGTGTACCTGTTAACACACAGCACGTACGCAGGCGCATACGCACTCATGAACACACGAGTACCTGCAGCACGCAACGCCACAGCACACACACACGCATGCACGCACGTGTAACGGTGCACACAGCACGCAGCACACGCACGCATGCACGCACATGTACGTGCACACGCAACGGCACGCACGCAACGCATGCACGCACGTGTACGTGCACACGCACGCACGCACGTGTACGTGCACACGAACGTACGAACGTGTACGTGCACACGCACGCACGCACGTGTAAGTTCACACGCACGTACGCACGTGCACGTGCACACGCACGCACGCACGCACGTGTAAGTTCACACGCCCGCACGCACGTGTACGTGCAAACCCGCAGGTGTACGTGCACTACATAAACAGTGCTTTCGATCAGAACATGTGGTCATTCATCTGTAAATGTCAAGCAGCACGCTTCGCTTCTGCCAACCATGACACATAACAAATACACATGACGTCACGTGAAACACTCCTACAGTCTACACTATAGTGTCTAGACACTATATATATATAAAAGTCGTTTCATACTGCCCAAGACTTTAGCCCGCTTCTGAAGCGGGATAACTTTAGCTCGGGATAAGTCGTTTCATACTGCGCACGACTTTAGCCCGCTTCTGAAGCGGGATAACTTTAGCTCGGGATAAGTCG